TTTTTAAGGAAATGAATGAAAACCATACATGGGTGAGATAGGAATCGTAGGAAGGGAAAGTGAAAAAACTCTTGAATTTTTTTGAAAGGGTTTTTATTTATCTATACACTGTACACATAGTGACATAACTTTATTTAAATGACTATTTGGCAATTATTGAATGATTTGATGCAAAATGATTAAGTGGTCAGAATGATTAAAAGACTCTTATGATATAATGCAAAATGAAATATAATTGTTTGATAATTGTGTACAATGAAATTAGAGCTCTTAATGGTTAAGGGAGATCTGTGATACAAAATCATTCAAAGGGTTTTAGAACCATTAAGAGACAAACTTTTTTTTTGTCAAACAAGATTCATTTCTTAACGATTCAAAGGTTGCCTCTTAATGGAACTAAGGTAAACAAACAACCCCTAAGCCATCCCACCTCTGTCGAATTAGAACCAGAACCAATCTGTGTACTATCATCCATCCATACCACCATTTAACAAGCTTACTCATTTTTCACATCTATTAATCAATCTCAAACACTCGTTTAAACTTAATGAATCCAGTTCCAGCGGTCGATTCCGCCCATTCCAAAGCTCATTAAATTTTTCAACAGCCATTCTATATGACCATACACTTTTTCAAGCCAACAAACAAATTAATCAATCTCGAATTCAAGACAATAAACATGTTAATCAATCTTAAGTTCGAACACATAAATGTGTAATTCAAAATTCATGACGAGCATCGAACTCGGACATTGAAAAAATATTCGAGCTCAATCAGAGATGGACCTACAATTTTTTTCAATTGGTGACACCATTTGATTATAAGAAACAAATATAGGCATACTTTTTACAAAATCTATCATTGGTCTTTTCATTAGTCTTTTGTTTTTCATATGCTCAAGTTAAGTACTCAAGTCTCTTATTGCAAAATAGTTAAAATAAACATAATAAATCTGAAATTAAGAGCGAAAAAGTAAGAAAATGACACTAACGGTATTTAAACTTAGATCTTAGGTAGAAGAAAAGCCTTGCGAACCAACTCTACCAAGTGAAACCTGTGTCCTTATTGTAGTTTTAAAATATATATGGTGACATACAACAAATTGGTATGGAGGCACCTTTCACGACCCTATAATTTCTTACACTACGACTAATGAACAAAGCGGTGGCCCGTGCCACCACATGGGTCCGTTTCTTAGCTCGATTCTGATATTATTTTCTTGAGCTAAGCCCAAAAAAACTTAATACTTAGGGGCCATTTACCAAACGCTTATCCGGATAAGCGCTTATGAAATCACATTACCTTCTCAGATGAATATGGCAAGAACAAGAATCTTACCCGTTAAGAACGAAGGTAAGGACAGAGTCTTACCTGGTAAGTGAGGGTGACGACTCTTATCACAGTTAGCGCTTACCAGGTAATTTGTTGCATACGATACCGTTTCGATAGACTAAAAGCTTACACGGTAAATAAGTGATTGTGTTGAATTTTACCGGTAAGCGTTTATCCGGGTAAGTGTTTGGTAAAGTCCCCTTAGACTCAATAAAAGCATCTCCATCAGGTATGTTATATTTTCTCGGTTTCTATAAATTTGGAGATTTCTCCACTCTTTTTATCTCTATTTTAGAGAAGAGTTTAACATAGTTGTTAAGCAGACGTTCCCAAATATTTAAAATTTCTAAAATAGCATAGTTGCTTGGAGATATAAGAGACCTATATAAAGATGCCCAGGGTTCACCTAGAAATTATGACATCATAAGCTAATTGTTATGGAGAAAGTAGAGGTGTTTTTCATCCCATCGCCACTTATGGGACATGTCGGTCAGATTGTTCAGCTGGCCAACCACATGGTCACTCGATTTCACCATCTCACCATTACCGTACTTGTCATGCACCTCCCTATTGATCAGATTGGCACCAATTACATCCACTCCCTTGATGATGACCGCAATCGAATCAAATTTATACAATTCCCTCCTGTAGATCCTAATTCTTTTCCAGATTGCCCAACTGCCGGTTTCCTGGCTGATGCCATCATTGAACACCATAAGCCCATCATCAGAGAGCTTGTGGCTGCTCGCTTTGATGGGTCTAATCGAACCCCTCGACTCTCTGCATTGGTCGTTGACATGTTTTGTACATCAACCATTGATGTTGGCAAGGAATTTGGTGTCCCTACCTACATGTTCTTCACCTCAAATGCAGCTTTTCTTGGAATTATGTTTTATTTTCAGATCCTCCATGATGAAGGAGGTCAGGAGATATCTGAATTGGCAAACTTGGGCACTCCGTTGATAATCCCAAGCTATGCTAAGCCAGTTCCTCCTAGCGTGTTGCCCTTTGTGCTTTTGGACAAGGACTCTTGGTCCAAAAGGTTTATTCAGTATACCCGCAAATATAAAGAAGCCAAGGGTATAATCATAAACACGTTTCTAGAGTTAAAGCCTCATGCCCTCCTTTCCTATGACGATAAAACACCTCCCGTCTACACGGTGGGTCCCATGCTAAAACCCGAAAAGCCTACTCGAAACAATGAGCTACTGCAGTGGTTGGAAGGTCAACCAAAGTCATCGGTACTGCTCCTATGCTTCGGATCCAGGGGGTGGTTCGAGGTGGACCAAGTGAGAGAGATAGCAATTGCTATAGAGAGGAGCGGATACAGGTTCATATGGTCCCTGCGCCGACCTTCATCTGAAGACCAAAAAGGGTTCCCAGGGGAGTACACAGACTACAACGAAATCCTACCGGATGGGTTCCTCGAGCGTACAGCCGAAAGGGGCAAAGTGGTTGGCTGACTCCCGCAGACAGCGGTGCTGGCTCATGTTGCAGTTGGGGGATTCATATCCCACTGTGGGTGGAACTCCATACTGGAGAGTCTCTGGAACGGAGTTCCAATTGCCACATGGCCAATGTACGCCGAGCAACAGTTAGATGCGCATCAATTGGTTAAAGAACTGGGTTTGGCAGTGGAAATCTCGTTGGATTATAACCAATTAAACGAGAATCAGAGTTTGGTGTCAGCTGAAGACATTGAGAAGGGAATAAGGCAGGTGATGGATGGCAATAGTGAGGTTCGAGCAAACATGGCAGAAATGAGAGCAAAAAGCCGAATGGCACTGGAAGAAGGAGGTTCATCATTCACCAGTTTGAGACACCTTGTAGACGATTTCATGTAACTGGCTTTTGAAGAAAAAAATCTGTGCTGGTAGAACATTATTTCCTACAAGTTTCTGTGAAACCCATCTATGGCTGTGTGACTGTAACTTTCCATCTCCTATATCAACATTATGAATTGTGACCATAAAGAGAGCAGTATACAATCAATTATAGCTACCCTAAGAACAAGAATAAAATGTGCATGCCCATTTAGAACCCAAACATTGGGAAAAAGGGACCACCAAAATGGCCTTGATATTTATCCAAAAAAAAATAATGAAAGCCTAGATGCATCAATGTATGCTGGAACTAATTATTGATTCAATGCTCCCCTTGAAAGCCATCGAAGGAGAGAAATGGTAAAATAGAAATATAATATATTTGTAAGCATAATATCACATAGCACAAAATTTGGATCAAGGTTTAAGAGCAAGAGCCAAACCGAACCTGGGAGTTTTGTCCAAGGCTTTAGTGTCCAGCTCACTGGATACGGTCACGAGTGATTTTGGAATAATCTCATGCTGCAAGAGGGTACCTAGCTTCCCATGATTGTTGAGCTTGGCCTTGACCACTGTTAGACCATCAACTGCATAAGACCCTCCAACAGTGAAGGTGTTCTCATTTGTCGAGAACCTTCTGGTAATCTCCCCTACAGCAGCAGTCTTCTGTACTAGATCAAAATGGTGAATATATGATGCCCTTATCGTGTCCCCTTTGTCACCCCTGAAAATAATTTGTATTCCATCATCCCAACATGTGCTGATAAGTAGATTTAACATTTTGAGTGGTTCATGCCGAATGCTTACAGGACTATGGAAGCACTAGAATCTGGTTTGTTAACACTGATGCCAGCAGTGTACTTGGTCAATTTGCTAGAAGATGTCTCATAGCATGCCTCTGCACCAATGGCAAATGTTGGAGTGCCAATTGTAGCTGAAAGAACGATGGTCGGGGTTTGATTCAAAGCAACTGCTGATGTTAAAGTAGCATGGTAATGAAAGTACTGAACCTCGAACTGTGAAAAAAGGCATAACGTGTAGTGAAAACCCCCACGTTACGTGAAGAAATGAATAAACAGGTATCTAGGCGTCGAAGACTGTACCTTGCCACATTTAAAATCAGGCAGCTTGAATGAAGCAATGGTCTTTGTTGAGGGCACAATCTCCGTGAAAGTTAATGTCGTAGCAATCTGCAGAATCAGTGTAAAAGTGAAGTGGATGCACGTAATGACGTAATAAAGGTTGAATCTGATGGTATCTGAAGATCAGAAGTAAAAAAGCATACATTTGATTGGGTATCAAATTTGACATCAATTAACGTGTTCCTGTATTTGTACAATGCTCCCACATCTCCAGTTGACAGACCACCTTTCTTTGTTGCAGTGGATGTAAGTGTCTGCAATTGAGCAATAAAACAGATTGATATGTGTACACATTGACCTTTCCACGTCCAAGTAAATTACATGAATGACATAAACCAGTTCCTTTCTACCTGCTGGAGTTGATTTCTTCTCTATGGGTGACTAATTGAAGACATGCCCAGGCTAAAAGCCAGTTAATGCATAGACTCACTGAATCCAGGCAAAGGAATGCTTTAATTGTTTATATTTGAAGTATTATGTCCAACCACTTCTTCAATGACATAAGTAAAGGACCGGTAATTAGCCTAAAAATAGATCTTCTTCACAACTATGTAGAACGTACCAGAACGATACACCAAGCGAAAATCAAATATTGCTCTATTATTTCAGATGGGATGAATTATAAGAGAAAACTGGTGACTGAAGACATCTATAACGGGCGTTCCAGCATATTTATATGGCCTCCTCTCATGGTGGTCGTATATCAGAATTTAGTATATGATTTGTAGTTCATACATGCTGAGCTCTTATCCTATCACTAACAGATAACCAATTTTCTCATCTTTTGTAAATTTTATCAGAAATAACAAAGGACGAGCTTTATAACTAACTGTTGTCCACCAATGCTTAGCACATCTTCATCTCCCCTATCAAAACCATTGGAATGGCAATTATGTAGTCCATCTTATTTCCACTCAATCTAAACCATCCAGATTCCAACGTTTCACTAATCGTAGATCATTGACAAAGTGCAAAACAAAAGTTCACACTCAGGGGTAGACCTCGATGTGTCCTTTCATTAACACATATTAACATGCATTGCATACACTTCCTTCTTCGCATGATATTGTTACATCACCTCTTTCAGAATCCTATCATATGAGCTCCCTACATCAGATCCTTCTTGTGTTGCTAATATTCTCCACAAGTCTTCTGATCAAGAAAATAGCATCTGGTCTTGATCTCCCAATGCACCGTATCCTATAACCTCCCAACCCCCTCCCCCTACCTACTCTACCCCCAACCCACCCTACCCTCCGACCCCCTTGGCCTGCCTCACCTCCTCTACCCCTCAACCGTGATATAACCAAATTGATTTTCCGAAACCTTATTCTCAACTATCAACATTTGCTCACCAACCCACTTTTTAAAGAAATTGACAAAGTAATATTTTCATTTATTCATCAAAAGAAACATCCCTTTTGAAGCAAGAATTGTTTCATTTTATGGCTCATAAGCTTGATCTATCAATAATTACAGTTTTGAGTAATTCCTTTATTCCTGTAAACTGGGACCAGGACTCTTCCTCCATTCTTTTGGTATTCTCTGTTCTTATGAATGAAATCGAATAAAATATTTTGTCAAACTACTGAACTAGACGTACGGACGTGATCCTATCAGACCCTAAAGCTTTTTACAAATTCTTATCTTTATCAATGCCCACTCCACTTCAACATAACGGTTCCATGTACAGATTTCGACCAGTATCATAAGAAGAGTTATCAAGTCCCCTTATGCTCGCCTTAGTGTTTCTGTTGACAACTTATTAAAACAAAATTCCCCCATCTTCTCTGACCTTGTCATCTTAGACTAAGAGTCCCCAGTTCTCTTCCTTGATGTTACTTGATCCTTGTTTCTCCTTTCTCTTACCTTAATCAACACCATTCATCATTTTTCCCTCTCTTTTTGTCTTAATTTCTTGCACGGATATTCATATGTCTTATCTACAGTTTCTCTTAATGCTTTGTTAGTTCCCTATTGGCTTGTTTATACTTCTTTCTGCTCTCTACATTCTTACACTCATTCTTGAGCTTATAGCATTCTTTTCTCCTTGATGCCCATTTGATGAACCCCCATTACACCACCAAATGTCTTTAGTTTGATCACTACTTCCTATAATTTCTCCTACCATCTCCGTTTTGCTACCATTGAAATGCATTTGTAGTTTGTTCCAGGAATCCAGGTCCTATTAGCATCCCCTTTGGAATCAAAAGTCCCCCTCTTTAACCATTTGATAATTGAATGTACTTGCACTATCCCCTTTTAGGTTCCACCACATAATTCTATGGTGCTCAACACTCCTATCTTGTGTTCGGATAACTATCTACAATTTTTGCAAGCCACTCGACCCCCTTTCTTAGTAAGTACGAAGTCTCTCTTACTGGAATTTGACCACTACCAACGGTCATTAGATGAGAATCACATGTTCTAGAGTAAGTATTTGCAACCAGCACATCATAAGCTACGGTAAATTTCACCATTTTATCTTCTTGATTCCTAGTACCATACTAAGACCTGCATGAGCTCTTTCAGAACCTCCATTCCCATTACTTCCATGACTATTAAGATCACATCCTATAAAAAATGGATACAGACCATTGCAAGTTCCTGGAGGTCAAACGTAGTAATACTTAATATCCAAGGAACAAATATGACAACAAAAACTACACAACGTATAAATAAAACTTACGCAATTACGTTAACTCTAAAAATTGTTCACAGAGAAGCCCTAAATCGATGAGTCAAATTTCATAAGATTCCCGTATTAAGAGCAATGAAGAAATTGCATATGGAACATACCACTCCGGTAGCACTGGTGGTTGAAACAGAAAATTTCTGATCCGACAAGTAATCCCTCGTCAGAAGATCTAAGACATAAACAAGAATTCCTGTATACTTAATCCAAAGTTCATTTACAATAATATAGAAAGATGAATTGCGTATTGAATTGAGAATACCTTTGGCTTTCTTGCCGATGTCGGAGAAGAGTCCTGGTCCGCTGTTCATTGCTGCTGCAGAAGAAGTTGAAGGAGAAAGAGGTGCGTTTTGATGGCGTAGAAATTCAACGAAAGAGAGGGAGGACGGGGGGCGGATTCGTGACTGTCACCAACTACGGTGCTAGGTTGCGCTTTCACCCCCGAACGGGCACGTGCCTGATTCGGAACACAAAAGGGGTCACATGTCCATATGCTATGACGTCCATGTCTTTGTTCATCAATTTACAGTAATGCAGTAAGTTGCAAAAGTATATATGATCACATGTGCTATGAACTTTTTTTATATGATTAAACATATCAAAAAAGGACACGGTCGATTTGGTAAACCCAAAGGTCGCTGGAAAAGGTTGGCATTATAGGTGAATTGATGCAACATGTGTTTAATCGTATATGGTTAAGTGTGTATACCAGGGATAAGCATACATGATTTTGTAACTTCTCGCATTCTTGCAAATTGACTGTCTTATCGTTTGAACCTGACCATATATATTTGACTTTAGAAAATCATCCGCAAATGTGTATCTAGTGACACAGCGAACCTATTGATGTGGGTGATTAATGTTGATGTGTCATTGAACATTATACGTCAAAAGCATTGGGTTATTGGAATGGAACATGGCAGATAATCAAAACAGACATTCAAAATTTTCACTACTAGGTGTTATTTGTAAAGTATAAGCATCTGTTTGGATCTTCAATTTAAAACTCTTAACAATAATGAATTTATTACTAAAAGATTTTATTCAATATTCTTCAAACTCGTATTATTGGTCATTTAAGCTTACATTTTGTATCTCACGATTGAGATGATTAATTTGGATATATTTTAAACATAAGATACATGCACCTTCATGTCTGTTTGATCAGATTCTTCTAACTCAATGTAGGTTAGAAAAGTGTGAAATGCTCCCATTCATATTTGGCACTGTAATTTAAATATTTTGAAGCTAAAAATAAATATCAGAGTTTTAACAGTCTAACTTTACTTTCTCAAAAGAACTCCTACTCTGTCTCTTTCACTAACAAGCCATTAGGGTCATCGACAGTTTATCGTTTGTATACTGATACCCATCTTGTTGCACCTCTTATTTAGATACGTCAAGTTTTATAGTTTTCCATGAATAATTTGATACCAAATAGTATGTTGTTGTGTTCGTAGACTCCTCCCACATCTCTATTTGACACGTCACCTTTTCTTGTTGCATTTGATGTACTTAGTAATAAACGAGATTTTTGTTCATAGAAAATCCATATTGGAGTAGCCAAGTTTCATAAGATTGGAGGGAGTGAAGAAATTGCATAACTCCAGTAACACTTGGTCGTTGAAACAAAACATTTTCGATTCGACGATGAGTAAGTCATCGGGAGCATATCTAGACGCAACAAAAAAAAAGTAGGTGAAAACTAGGTCATCCATTTGAAGTTGTTACTGAAATAAAGGAATGTGAATTGAGAATTACCTTTGACTTTCTTGCTGAAGTTGGTGAAGAGTCATGATTTAACGTTTATTGTTGTTTTAAAGAAAATGAAGAAGAAATCTGTGAAGACATAAATAATTTAGGTATCTGGTAGTAATTAGAAGACGATCGTTGTCCAGAGCAAGATATTCTGCAACCAACTGCTTTGATTTGGAATAATGAGCCGATTAACGTTCCATCAAAACACACCTTATCATGACTAAGAGCAAACTACACTCTAATTGTATTTAATAAAATAGTTTTATTGTTAACCAATCCATGAAAACGTCTTTGAAAAAAGTATAATCAAAACTATTAGATTTTAAATAATACCAAGACACGTTCGTTTAGCATTTTGCTTTTAAATGTACATATAAAAAACAAAAATCACAAATATATAAAAGTTAAAACATGTTTGTTAATAGTTTAATAAACTTAATAAAACTCACAACTTGTGTTATTCAATTATATATGATTGTTTGGTAGTGACTTATTCAGTAAGCTTCTATGAGAAAACTTTTATAAAAAAAATCAAATCGCCCTTTCAATTAAAAAAACACGCTCATTTATATATGAAAAAACTTTTGAAAATAAAAACTTTCACAATTTATATATACAAATCGATTTACAAAACACGATTTTATTTTCAATACATGAGTTAATGAAAAATAAATAAAAGATTCCGTAATAAAAACCCGATAAGTATATATAATATATGTATCACTATTCAGTTGTTCAGTAAATTTGACATGCATGGCGTAATATAATTCGAACATACTAATTATAATTAAGCTCAAAATTCAAAAAAACTAGTGTTAAAGATGTATCATATATAGAAGAAGAACGCGGTCATTCCGTTTCCAGGACAATCGGATCAAAATTTGCCCCCATTTCGGATCACTCTCCAGACTCTGCTTTTCCCAGCTGAAACAGAGACATCTACCTTTTTACGATTTTCGAACTGATTTCTTCAACACTTGGATTTCGAGCATCTGAAATTTCTTAGTCATTTCTCTTTGATTTTTTCCTTTCTTTTTCTTCTGTTTCTCAAGGTCTATGAATACGCCATGTTTGCCCAGGAAGAAACAACCAGTGTTGATTTTGAGATTTGATGGCTTACTTTGGTTGAACAACAGAGAGGGTTTTCAGTCACTCGTTCGTTGATCGTTTGGATCTGGAAGGAGGGAAAGGAGATGGAGACTTATTTAAAACAGAATTTCGGTGGAGTGAAACCCAAACATTCGTCGGACGAGACGTTGAAGAACTGGAGGACTCTGTGTGGTGTCGTCAAGAATCCTAAGCGACGGTTTCGGTTCACTGCAAACCTCGTCAAGCGTCATGAGGCTGCTGCCATGCGCCGTGGCAATCAGGTCAGCACTCTCGATTTTACTATTTTTTTTTACAGATTTACACAAAAACAACAGACCTCAGATGGACTATTCTCGCGCCTGTGCATTCCAACATATATCAGAATTTCTTCCACTTCTATTGTAATTATGAGAAGAAGTGCATGTCTCTCTTCGGATGAAGGAAATGCAGTACTGTTTCTGCACTATAATTCGTGATTGGTTAACGCATGCATTGTAGTCTGATTTACGATGGTTGCAGTGATTTTGAATCTAGACTGGAGTTTTCGACTTTATCTTTTGACTTTATTCAAGAGTCGAACGTGTCACGATTTTATAAATTTATTCAGAAAACCCCACGAAAAATAAAATAAAACCATGTGTCAGTTTGACGACAACATTCCATGTTAACTTCCTTGGAAGTGTAGCCCATTCTTAAGATTATAAGTGTACTTACTGGATGATTTGAGTTCTATGTTTCTCAAGAATTTGAACAGTTTGCCATTTGCAGATAAATTAAATTAATGTTCATCATCTTAGTTGTATTTCTTGGAGAAGATTGTATGATCTCCTAATTCTGTCACAACCAATGCTTTGCAAGTTACATGATTTCATCCAAATAGTTAGCCACAGTTTGACTTACTAATCATACCTTGAATGGTTACAGGAGAAGTTAAGAGTAGCGGTTTTGGTGTCGAAGGCTGCATTGCAATTTTTACAAGGTGAGTTCTTAGTACTTGTTTATATGCATGTATCGCATCTATATGTATATAGGAAAATTAATCTACTCCTGATATGGATAATGTTGAAAAAGAGAGCTTCCCACATACAAGCACTCTATATGTCCACCTAGTCGCCTATACGTCTTGTGAGTGGGAAGCCTCTTCCTTGACCAATATATATGTATGCTTCAAGTTGACTGTATATAACTCTTCAGTTCCTCCATCACAGAATGCCCTTTCTTCTTATTGGCTCCATTTTCATGATGTATTGAGCACAGGGGTGGAACCGGGCGACTATACAGTACCTGAGGAAGTCAAAGCCGCTGGTTATGAAATCTGTGCTGATGAACTAGGTTCCATTGTTGAAGGCCATGACCCCAAAAAGCTAAAGTTGCATGGTGGAGTAGATGGTATTGCAGCAAAGCTTAAGACGTCAACAACTGATGGACTTTCTACAGATAAGGAAGGGCTGAGCCGCAGACAGGAGCTTTTTGGAATTAACAAATTCACCGAGGCCGAACAAAAGAGCTTTTGGGTGTTTTTATGGGAAGCCCTTCAAGATATGACCTTGATGATCCTTGCTGTGTGTGCCTTTGTCTCTTTGATTGTTGGCATAGCAACAGAAGGCTGGCCTAAGGGGGCTCATGATGGTCTTGGAATTGTGGCAAGTATCTTGTTGGTAGTTTTTGTAACTGCAACAAGTGATTATCGCCAATCTTTACAGTTCAAGGATTTGGACAAAGAGAAGAAAAAGATATCTATTCAAGTTACCAGGAATGGGTACAGGCAAAAATTATCAATATATGAGCTCCTGCCTGGCGATATTGTACATCTTGCTATAGGAGATCAAGTCCCTGCAGATGGACTTTTCCTTTCTGGGTTTTCAGTCTCAATTGATGAATCCAGTTTGACAGGAGAGAGTGAGCCAGTAATGGTCAGTGCTGAAATTCCTTACTTGTTGTCTGGAACCAAGGTCCAAGATGGCTCATGCAAAATGTTAGTTACAACAGTAGGGATGAGAACCCAATGGGGAAAATTGATGGCAACTCTTAGTGAAGGGGGAGACGACGAAACTCCACTGCAGGTTAAGCTAAATGGAGTTGCAACCATCATTGGAAAGATAGGTCTTTTCTTTGCCTTGGTGACTTTTGCAGTTCTGGTGCAAAAGATGCTTACTCGTAAGATCATAGAAGGAACTCACTGGAGCTGGGCTGGCGATGATGCCTTAGAACTGTTGGAATACTTTGCCATTGCTGTCACCATTGTTGTTGTTGCAGTTCCAGAGGGATTGCCTTTGGCTGTCACGTTGAGCCTTGCATTTGCCATGAAAAAGATGATGAAGGACAAGGCACTTGTCCGCCATCTTGCAGCCTGTGAGACTATGGGGTCTGCAACAAGTATATGCAGCGATAAAACTGGGACGTTAACAACCAATCACATGACTGTAGTGAAAGCGTGCATTTGTACGGAAGTCATGGATTTGAACAAACAAGTCACCTCTGAGATCCCAGATAAGGCTTTAAAGCTTCTTCTACAATCAATATTCACCAACACAGGGGGAGAAGTTGTGATTAACCAACAAGGGAAACGTGAGATACTAGGAACCCCAACAGAGACAGCCATACTGGAGTTTGGATTGTCACTTGGAGGTGATTTCCAATCTGAGCGCCAAGCATCCAAAGTTCTCAGAGTTGAGCCTTTCAACTCTACGAAGAAACGAATGGGGGTGGTGCTGGAGCTTCCTGAAGGAGTAGTAAGAGCACATTGTAAAGGTGCTTCAGAAATAATCTTGGCTGCTTGTGATAAGATGATCAATGCAAATGGTGAAGTTGTGCCTCTTGACCAGGCATCCATTAAACATCTAAAGAGTACAATTGAGAGTTTTGCTGATGAAGCCCTTCGAACTTTATGTCTTGCTTATATAGACATCAAAAGTGATGTTTCGGCTGAAACTCCTATTCCAGCTTCTGGGTACACCTGTATTGGAATCGTGGGTATCAAAGATCCTGTGCGCCCAGGCGTCAAGGAGTCGGTAGCTATTTGTCGGGCAGCTGGTATAACCGTCCGTATGGTTACAGGAGACAACATAAATACCGCAAAGGCCATAGCTAGGGAATGTGGAATACTTACAGGTGATGGTATTGCAATAGAAGGTCCAGATTTCCGTGAAAAGAGTCTGGAGGAATTGGACAGACTAATTCCCAAGATTCAGGTACATCTTTTTTTCGTATGCATGCTTGTTAGAAGCACGAACTAGCTGCTGCAAATGTTCAGTAATGAAATTACCGTGAACTTATTGTTTTGCTTTATTTAGGTGATGGCTCGATCTTCTCCTCTGGATAAGCATACACTGGTGAAGCACTTGAGAACAACATTTGGCGAGGTTGTGGCAGTTACTGGTGATGGAACAAATGACGCCCCAGCACTTCATGAAGCAGATATTGGGCTTGCAATGGGCATTGCTGGGACTGAGGTGAGCAAGTAGATCTTCCTGACCTTATTCATAAAGGTTTTACCAGATGGATGTAAAAATTCTATGCAAGGATTTGAGAACGATCTTTGTTCTAACACGCATATTCTTCCAAATTTTAGGTAGCCAAAGAGAGCGCGGATGTTATTATTCTAGATGACAATTTCTCAACAATTGTGACCGTTGCCAGGTGGGGACGATCAGTCTACATTAACATTCAAAAGTTTGTACAGTTTCAGCTGACTGTCAATGTTGTTGCTTTGATAGTCAACTTCACTTCAGCTTGTTTGACAGGTACAACACATCTTCTTCTTCCATATTATTGCTACACTCTTCTTGCTTCCAGATAGCACCAACTGTTAATTTCAAAAACTCACTTGGTGTCATGTTCTTACTGGTTCTTTGTCCTTCTAACGTAATTACAGGAAGCGCTCCCCTCACAGCTGTTCAGCTGTTGTGGGTGAACATGATCATGGATACATTAGGAGCCCTGGCACTAGCAACTGAACCTCCAAATGACGAATTAATGAAGAGACCTCCAGTTGGAAGAACGGGAAATTTTATCAGTGGTGTTATGTGGCGGAATATCATGGGGCAGTCTTTGTACCAATTCGTAGTGATATGGCTACTTCAGTCAAAAGGAAAATCATATTTCAGTCTTCATGGAGATGATTCCGATTTGATCCTTAATACCCTCATTTTCAATGCCTTTGTCTTCTGCCAGGTATATATACAACTTCTCATACACATCTTGCTAAAATGTTGCATTTTTGAAGAGACTAAAAACATGATGGTCATCTGCAATTTGTGATCAAATACTCATGTTGGATTATAATGTGTTGCAGCTATTTAACGAGATAAACTCAAGAGAAATGGAGAAAGAAGACGTTTCAGATGGCATATGGGACAACAACGTGTTTGTAAGCGTTATCTTTGCAACATTCATTTTCCAGGTGATAATAGTCGAGTACCTGGGTGCCTTTGCAAATACATCACCACTAACAATCATGCAATGGTTCTATAGCATTTTTATCGGGTATTTAAGCATGCCGATTGCTGTCTATTTGAAGAGGATCCCTATTTAAGGTCACACGATACAAAAGCTACTACTTAAAAAGAAAAAAAAGATATGATCCTTTAGCTTGTTAGAAAATGGGTAGAGTTAGAAGGTTTTGCCATCCAAAATATTACTGTGATGGGAATTCTTGAACAGGTAGGACTTGATTTTAGCCTTTTCATCATGATTTCAGTTTTCTCTTGTCTCTGTGAGATACCACCAGATTCCATTTTCACCTTGGGGATGGGACTTGGGAGGTGGTTGTTGCCAAATTATCTCAAGAGAATGCGCATTTAAGTATGTTGATGATGAATCTGTTTATGTATAAGAAGGTTGGGCTGGCTAGTTGTGTAGTTAATCATTTTACTTCTTCTTTTCACTGCTTATAGTTATAGGGTAGTGAGTGGCATGTGAATTTTAACTTTTTGAATGAAAATATCCTGTAAAGTTCTTTTCTTAACTTCTAAATCCATTCATCCATCATTGTTTTTTACTTTTTGGCATTCCTTTACCTGTACAGGTATGCATAAAAGTAATTGAATATGTTTCCTTGGTTATTAGAGTGTTCATTTTTTTATTTGTTGCAATTTTAACGAATCCTGTGTATAATGGCAAAATAGGGGTCAACATTCAACCTAAGCTAGGAGTAAACTCCTCACAAGATTCATAATCATGATCTCTTTTAAGATTGGCAATAATAAGAAACAAGGTGCAATTATTTATACAGTTTAGTCTTTGTTCACTTCTGGTTACATCAAAATAATTAGGACCCAGCAAGCTATAGCCAACAGTAAAAGAGGGGGCATCCCACTCACCATAAAGCCAGATACACACTCAATATCTCAAACCAACCCAAACCCATTTCAGCTTTCATTGTCCATTATTTGATGATTCTTTCTTTCTTGCCACCCAACAAATGCATCAAATCAAATCAAATCATGACTCTCCATTCCCTAAACATCCTCCTCATGGCTTTCAGCCTTTTGAAAGTAGTCACCATTCCAAGCCTCAATTTCAAAGACACATATACACAAAAATAGTACAATCTTTATCCAGAACTAAAGCTTAAAAGGGTAGTGAAAAGACGATTGAATTCAACAAAAAAGTAAAGAAAAGAAAAAAACCCCATTTAACAATCTTTGATAGACACCTCTTTTTACTGTATGTTAAACTTTACCATCCATCCTCCTTCAGTAACAATGCCCTTCACTAGTTTCCACTAGCTGAAATTTCTCATGGGCATTTGATATTCAAATCCCTTTTATATGGTAACCTCCATATCATACCATATGTTGGTAGATTAGTATTCCCAAAACTCAAATCTCTTATTTGGTTAAAGATCACCCCGATCAACTCCAATCAACGAATCCATGCCTTGTCTAAACAAAATGCTACTATGATCGCCTACTCGTCTTCTGCAACGGGCATTTTTGTTCCAACCCATTGTATGCAAGCTTCCTCTTGATGCCAACGGTGGATGACGGGCTCCAATGATTTCTAAATGAACCAAAAGAATTCATACTCTCTGGGGTGTTGTTCTTTTTAGTCTCAATCCCCTTCAAAAGATTGTAACATTGATATATACCTTCCTGCTTCAGAATAATGAACAAAAATGTCAAGATTAAACCAACAACATTCATGTTGGAATTTTTTTTTTTTTTTTTTTTTGAAAACTTACTTTTTCAAGAGAGTGAAGTGATGATACAACACCAATCTTGAACTCCAATGTGTTTCTTGTTGGTTGATCATCACAAGCTAACAAGACTGCTGCTATGGCAACAACAGATGGCCTATGATCCATCAAATTAACCTCTGTAATATATATATATATATAAAACAACCTCAAATTTATAAACAATTTCAAGATTATATTAAAAAAATCCGAAATCGAAATCAAGCTTCAAAGATTAAAAACCACCTTTGGAGAAATCAAATATGAGTCCAATAGCTTTGGAGACTAGAAACTGATTACAGCCACATTCATCACAAATCTTGGAGAAGAAATGGTGAAGATAAGCAAATGGAGTAATGCAACACATTTTCCATTCCAATGTTGTCAATACCATCAACTCCATTCTCTGAATCACACTGCTTTCAAAGTTGTACCCTTGTGCTTTATAATGAGACAATGATGGCACAATTTGTTCCTCCATTTTAGCAGCCAAAGATAAGCATGCAATGCACAGCAATTGAATTGCCCATTCTTTCCCATTCTATGAACACCATCAATTCATTAATCAGATTCCATTCCTTTTTTGGACTTTGAACTCAAAACAACTTCAATTTTGAAAAAATCTAAGAAACTGTAAAATGATGATAATTTTGGTGTTGTAATCGTGCAAATACACAAAACTTACATCGATAACTCTCGTCGAATTGAATCGATCAAAGTATGTCAAAGAGAGATAAGCGGTACGAAAATGAAACCCCAAAATTTCCCTAGTCTGCATCAAATTGAAAAACTCAATGAACTCAAGAACGAACAAGAGTGAAATCAAAAGAATAACAGAAGGATTCGTACACTGAGAATCCAATTAATGGCATCTAATCGAGCACATTTGAACCATTTTCTAGTATGGTCGTCGTCATCGCAAACACAACCGTAATCTTTTGATTTCGATTCTCTTTCGATCAAACATCGTATATAGTGATCATCTTCGGATTTAGGTATCGAAACCTTAAGTTTGATTTCGTTTAACGAGGATTCATCTTCTTCGCACAAGAGACTTGGTAGAGAAAATGTAGTGCCGGAATCCATGGAAAAGGAAAATTGAAGCAGTGGGTTTGATGAAGGATTTTGTGTGTTTGGATGGATCGAGGAAATCTAGAGATAGAAAGGGCGCGAAATGGGGGGAAAGTGGTGAGTAGCAGCGATTTCGGTGCCGCCAAATTTTGCTCATCAGATATATAGAAAAGAAGTGGGACTCGTGGTCAGTTTTTCATTTTCTTTACTATTTTATTTTTTTTAAACGTTTTTTGTTTTTTTATTCTTTTTAACATTCTCGTTAAATTATTAGGTTTCCTTCACCAACTGATATTATATGGATTCATGATAATTTATTCATGGTGAAACTTTAGGGGAAAAAAAGAAAAACTAAACCACTTCTCTATTTTGATTGGTTTAGTCTTTAAACTTTCTTTTTAAATGAAAAACTATTAAACTTTATCATTTTGAATGATTAAGTTTCTTGATTATTTTCGAAATGAAAAAATAATTAATTTTTTTTATTTTAAATGACTACTTTATAGCTTTAAAATAAAATGGGTATATAGACTTATTAGGTTTCGATACAATAAGAAGATGCTATTTGTAACAAGTAGTTTTTCTTGTTAGATAATTTGTCACGGTTTATTCATAAAATGGGTTGGATTGGGTAGTAAATTAAGGATCAAAAAAGTAATAACTTAATAATCTCCCAATATAATAAAAGAATCAATAAAAAAGGAGTCCTGATTCAAATCCTAAATAGAAGAAAGTTAAAATTTCTAAAAAGTTTGTATCCTAATTTGAATAGATAGGTTTCAACATTAATTATGTTATTTAAAATGTTCTAAAATTATATCATTTCTAAAAAAAAAGTTATATCAAATAATAATAACTCAATTTCATTGGTGGAAATTGTAACGAAGATTATTTCCCTTGTATCAAGTTTTAGGTTTGGTTTATGAGTTTGATTCATTCTTTGAGTTTTGGTAAGGAATTTGTATGATGTTTGGGTTCTAATAAAAATTCCAATTTTTTCATCTCATATTTTAAGAAAAATGTTATGCTCTAATATTTATTCTATTCCATTTCATTTCACCACAACAGTTATCACCACCTCGTTGTTACCTTTGTTGTCTACGCCACCATCGCCATTCCTACCACCGCCACTATTATATTCCAACGAACCAAATAGACGAATTCAAATTCTTTTAACATGTTTTACTTCAATTCCTGCCAGTCTAACACATAAGCAAACCTAATTAAGTTTCTTCATATTCTAATTTATTTGACATATTCCGATTCAAACAAATTCCATTATGTGAACCAAACACTACTTTGGAGAATTCTCTAAATTTTGAGTTTTCTTTATTATTTTTTTCTCTCCATTATAGAGATTGGAGAACGATATAGGACTACAATAGATAACATCATATTCATTTTCTATATTTTAGAAAACTAAAAGGGTACTCGCACAATGCAGCGAGTTGCATTTCAATTTTAATGTTTCGTTTTTTTTTTTTGTCTTAGTCGATGTTATAATACGGTTTGATGTGGTTTTGAGAAAACGATAATGTTTTTATTTTTGATTAAAATATAAATATAAAGATATATCATAAAAAATTGAAATTTTTTTTGGTATTAATACCAAACTAACTATTAAAAATTTCTTCTTTTTGTGTACTTCTTTAATTCAATTTTTTATTTTTAGTTTANTTTTAGTTTAATAATATATTTTTTTATAAATATAATAATTAAGTATTTTGTTAGAACTCAATGATTATCCTACTTATATTTTAGATTTTTTATATTTAAAATAAGATGTTTATCTTCTATTTGATTATATTTATCCACAGTTAGTTACACAAATTTAAACATAAGCTTTAATAAGTTGTACTTACGCACAACTTACTTGTGATCTTGAAAATTAAGTAATTAGCTATATAGCAATACATAATGCTTAAAAAGTTGTTTTTAAGAGATTGTGTCAAATGTTTTATAATATAGTATAGAGTTATTGTAAATGGTCTTAGATTTTTTTTTGTTGGAAAGATTTCCAAAAGGAACCAGTTCAAAACAAAAAAACACGCAATAAATAGTTATTAGCCCATCCTTCATGTACAAGAAGGCTATGCTGAATACCAATTTGACGCAACTTTCATGGTTTAAAATTATCGACATGTAACAGTCATACATTTCATGTTAACATTGAGATTATTTGTTCGTATTTCGTTAAAATTGTAGGATGTATGAATTATGACCAACTACATCAATAGAATCAAATTCATCTTCACGTACACTCAAATAAAACAAAACACTTACGATAAATTAATATGGCATGCATGAGGAGATGACAGTACCAACTAGTACTCATAATGTATTTTAACATATCCGATTTAATCATCCATCGGAAGTCCAAAATTAGGAACAATCTCTAATAAATTGATTTATAGTAAACTATATATATATATATATATATATATATATGTGTGTGTGTGTGTGTGTGTGTGTGTATAATATATATAATCCTATTGTGATATACTGTGATACTATTTGAGTACCACTGTATATCACAATGGGTATCACATTGTGTATATTTGTCATTACTTGGTACCTGCCGGATTTTTGTTCACCAGAGGCCGGAGATTGGAGGTCGGAAAGAGGAGATATGAGTTTTTTAAAAATACCTAAAATGCCCTCTAATTATAATTTTAACTCAAACTACCATAATTATTAATTTCTTAATTTATCCGTTGATTTGTGGTTGAGATTGGATCTCATAGTTACCACAAACTAATCAGTTCTCATTTGATTAAGCCCCCATATATATATATATATATATATATATATATATAGGGTTGGGTTCACGTGAGACCCGTGAGACCAGTTTATGTTCATTGATCAACTTTATA